GTCCCAACACTTTGGGAGGTCCCATAAACATGCCTGACTCACAGCGCCAGTGGGGCATGCTTCCAGGGTTCCAGATAGCTTTTATTTCTACTTCCAACCTTACCATTCTTTTCAAGACCCCTTCTACCTCCAGGAAATGTCCTCTTCCTCCAGCAAATGGCAACCCAACTTATATTGCACAGAGAAATGGAGGCTCTCAGGTATGAAGGATGCCATCAACTTCTTACCACCTTACCTGAAAGTTAATTTTATCTGCAAAGTCTCCCCCCTTCACTCGGCATAAGAAAGAAGTTTCTCTTCACTGGGTTGGAGGCTAATTCCAGACTGAGCTCTTGTTCTTTCTTTCCTAGGGTTGGACCTTGCTACATAAGTTAACTCTTTCTTCTTTCCTGTATTTTCAGTCTCTCCTTCTATATTGTTTTCTTTTCTACAGCCTATTTTATGTGCCCCCTTCCCTCCCCTTCCTTCCCCTCCCCTGCCCTTCTCTTCCCTTCCCTTCTTTCCTAACAGGGTCTTGCTCTGTCACAAAGGCTGGAGTGCAGTGGTGCAACCATAGCTCATTGCAGTCTCAAATTCCCAGACTCAAGTGATCCTCTTGCCTCAGCCACCCAAGTAGCTAGGATTATAGTCATGTGCCACCATGCCTGGCTAATTTTTAAACATTTTTTGTAGAGATGGGTGTCTTACTAGGTTGCCCATGCTGGTCTTGAACTCCTGGTCTCAAGCAATCCTCTCACCTTGACCTCTCCAAGTGTTGGGAAATGGACATATAATAGGAACTTGGGAGGAGCATGGGATAGGGGTGAAAATAAAGTCAAATGATTAGATACCTGAGGGGAAAATCTCAGGTATCTAAGAGGGCAAAAGAGTCTTAAGGGTTTAAGGCAGGTAAATCAGGCCTTTAGAGGGAGATGGGTGGATAAAGCCTTGTGATCAGAGACTGATAGTTTAGAGTTAAAACCCAGGAAGCATAAGCATTCTGGATGCTAGCAAAATTCCTCGACAGAGTATTTGCACTCTTCCTTGCTGCCTATTCTCCTCACCTCACTCAGAATCAAGTGTTTTATTCCTCACCCCTCTCCTGAAACAAGGTTCTCTTTAAAGAGCTTTAAGTGGGGAGAGTGACATGATCTGATATGAAATGTTCAAGGCAGCATGAGGCATAGAAATAAAGTTCATAGCCCCACAGTTTGTCATAGTGTAACACTAGATTAAATATTCATCAGCAGTGGCATCGATAATACCCCTGAATGGATTCTGTTCATTTAAAGTCCAACAACAAGACCAGGTGCAATGGCTCACTCCTATAATCCCAGTGCTTCAGGAAGTTGAAGTGGAGGATCACTTGAACTCAGGAGTTCAAGACCAGCCTGGGCAAGATGGCAAGACCTTGTCTCTACAAAAAATTAGTGGGGCATGGTGGTGCACACCGGTAGTCCCAGCTACTCAGGAGGTTAAAGCAGGAGGATCAATTGGGTCCAGGAACTCAAGACTGTGATCATGCCATTGCTCTCCAGCCTGGGTGAAAAAGTGAGACCTTATGCCACAAATAAATAAATAAATAATATAAAGTCCCAAAACAGCTAACATCAAACTACATTGCTTAGAGAGGGATACTTGGGTGGTTATACTTGGAAAACAAGGAAATTGTCATTTGTCAGAAAAGTCAGGATAGTGGTAACCTCTGAGAGAATAGAGATCGTCTTTAGGGAAGAGCCCATGCAGTGCATGGGAGCTGGCCGTGTTCTATTTTTTGATTGGATGGTGCTTATATGTGTTTCTTTTTTATAGTTATTCTTCAAGCTATACATATGTGATTTTGTACTTTTTTGTTTAAATCCCAATCAAAAAGAAAACACATATGCCATGCATGGAATGATACATATCACATTTAAGAGGAAGGAGAATGATATTGGAAAGTAATGTGCCGATTGTGTTTGTAATGTTGTTTTATGAGCTGGAAAATGAGTACAGGACAACTGGGAAGTGAGTACAGTTTTCATGTGTTATTATCCATAATTGTTTCTATTTCTAAAATATTTAAACCAAAATTTAAACTAAAAGAAGGAAATGTGGAAAAGAAGATGATGCTTTTGTTCCTGTTTTCATTTCCATTATTGTTAATAAAATACATATTCAGGGCTTGGCGCCTGTAGCACGGTAGTTACAGCACTGGTCACATGCACCAAGGCTGTCAGGTTCAAGCCTGGCCTGGGCCTGCTAAATAACAATGACAACTACAACAAAAAAATAGCTGGGCACTGTACTGGGTGCTTGTAGTCCCAGCTACTTGGGAGGCTGAGGCAACAGAATCATTTAAACCCAAGAGTTTGAGGTTGCTGTGAGCTGTGATGCTACAGCACTCTACTAAGGGCAACATAGTGAGACTCTATCTCAAAAAAATAAAATAAAATAAAATATGTTTTCAATAAATTAAAATTGGCTGGGAGCGTGTGGCTCAAGTGGCTAAAGTACCAGCCACATATACCTAAGGTGGC